AGAGTCACAGTCTCAGAGGCTCTTGAGCGCAGTGCTACCCTGCCCTAGAACATCGCTCTGAGTCAAAATCGACTCCATCGGTGACAATGAGTCCTTTAGGAGTGGGTTTTGCTAAGGAGCTCTGGTGGTGGAGTCGGGTATGTGTTGGGACCAGCAAAGTCAGCAGTTTAAACCCACTAGCCACTCAAGCGGGAGAAAGCGGAGGCTTTCGGTCCTATAAAGATTTACAGCTGCAGAAGGCCAGTGGGCGTTCTCTTCTGTCCTACAGGGTTTGCTGTGACTCAGAATCCACCCATTGGCAGTGCGTTTGGTTTGAGAGTGAGTAAGGCGCACGGCAGGGCAGTGTTTCAACTCTGCTGTCCATCAATAGGGTCACTATGAGTTGGAGCCACCCTGAGGACACTGAACAACAGGTGACCGTCGATCTCATGGTGCTTTCTGTTCCACTGGCTGCTTCCATTCTATGGTTTGATTTGAACCTCCCTAATGGCGACCTTTTTGGGTGCTGATTTTGAAAACATTGAGTCCTTCCTAGCTATGATTTTGTATATTTCATACGTTTGCTTGAGTCTCACTTAGGAACCTGGGTTTCTTTTTCGGATAATAACTTTATTTTTTCTGTTCCAATCTCTGAGTTTGAAATACTTACAAAAAATGTGGGATTTTTTTTTGACTATTTACAAGTGAGGTCTTTAAATGTGTCAAGTACTTTTATAAGAAGGAGTTTCAAAATGTTCATGGAAAATGGTATGGAAAGATAATGGAATCTTCTCAGAAACGTTTTGAAGCCCCTTGGAGATAGTATGAAGCAGAAAATGGAACTCACTGTTCTCAAGTTGCTACTCAGAGTGGGAGCAGCCCTAGAGGACAGAGGCAATTGTCCCTTGGAGCGTCTGAGCTGTACTCTTCCCAGAAGCAGACTGCCCCATATTTCTCCAGCGGAGGCTTGGATGGCTTTCAATCTCATCTCTCAGTTCGCTGCAAGTGCTTAACTGCTGAATGACTATGACATCTCTATATAGAGTATGAAGAAAGAACTATTTTTTCCAGGTAATCGGCAATTTTCCAATACCATTTATTGGGTAATATAACCATTCCCACCAATTATAATTGCAGTTCTCTTATGATATCAAGTCCCTATGAATATTGAGACATGGATCCCTGCTTCTTATTACATTCAATTTGTCTTTGGGGCCAATTCCCTGCACCAACACCAGGCGACGCTTACAATGTAGCTAGATATCATTATTCTTACTACCTAATAAGGCCATCCGATAACTAAAACACCCAAGAAAATTCTGTTAGAGTTTGTGAGAGGAGCCTTGGTGGCACAGGGCTCTCACCCTGTAGGCTGCTAACCACGAGGTCGGCAGTTTGAAACCACCAGCTGCTCCATGAAAGATGGGGCTTTCTATTCCCATAAAAAGTCACAGTCTTTGAAACTCACAGGGGCAGCTCTACCCCATCGGAGAGGGTCACTAGGAGTCCACATTGACTGCATGGCATTGAGGCTAGTTTTGGTTGAGGTTAGTTTTGGTTTTTGGTTAGATTTTGTATGTATCTTACCTACAAAGAATGCTGATTTTATTTATTTCCAACACATTTATTTTTGCTTGTCTTATTTCATTGGTCAGGACTTTAAATGCAATGCTGACTACTGAAGAGGTCATTGTGATCTCTTCTAATTTAAAAGAGATCATCTTTTAGATCAGTGGTTCTCAGCCTTCCTAGTGCCGGGACCCTTTCATACAGTTCCTCATGTGGTGGGGACCCCCAACCATAACATTATTTTCATTGCTGCTTCATCACTGTCATTTTGCTACTGTTGAGTCGGATGACCCCTGTGAAAGGGTCATTCAATCCCCAAAGGGGTCGAGACCCACAGGTTGAGAACTGCTGTTTTAGATCTAGATGTTGACATAAATACTTCCCAGATTTTATTAGTTCACATTTGTGTTAAGGAAGCTCCTTCTCTGTGTATTTCTGGGTTGTTAGTGGTTTTAATTATGGATAATGATTGCATTTAACCTGATGCTTCTATTGAGATAACATATATTGGTCCTTAAACATTTCAATGACATAAACCCAAATAGATCCTTTCTTAAAAAAATAAAAACAAGATGTACTAAACGCAGTTTGTCAGATTTAAAAAAAATTTCTACTGCTGCACATACATTTGTAAATGCTCAAAAATCACCTTAGCGGACAGGTTTTTGCTGACCATTTTATACGTGAGCACCCTTCAGCCGTCACTGGTCTGTTCTTTTGGTCCTCGCACTTATCGTTAGTGGACATCCTCTGCAGTGATTTAGTTGCTTACTTCCTGTTTTGCCCAGGAGAAAATAAAAGCCCTGAGAGCAGAGTTTTATTTGTTCCCTGTTGTACTCCTAGTACCTTGAACAAAATATTTACTGAGTGAATAAATGCATTTGAGGGAATGGACTCGTGTACTTGAATGACTAAATTAATCTTTGCATGCCTAGTGTTATTAGCGTGTAATTGTTTGCCTGTGTTTCTGCCTGGTTTTGCTATCAAGGTTATGCTGGGTTCATCAAATGAATTGAGCAGCTTTGTAACATTTCCTGTAAACAACAGCAACAACAACGAAAAGCAAACTCCCTGCCATTGAGTCGATATCCACTCACCGTGACCCTATAGGATAGGGTCCAACTGCCCTGTGAGTTTCTGAGACAGTAACTCTTTTAAGGGAATAGAGAACCTGGTTTTTCTCCCTTTCCCAAAGGAGGCTTGTGGTTTCAAACTGCTGACCTTGTAGTTTGCAGGCCAATGCTGCTAACCACTATGTCACTCTAAGTGCCTGTTTATTCGGAGGAATCCCTGGAGAGTACACACGTTTAGCTAAGTACTGATCTACTAACAGAAATCTGGCTGTTTGAGTCCACTCAGGGAAGGCTCAGAAGAAAGGCCTGGCTATCGACGCCCACAAGGTCTTAATAAGGGTCACCATGAGTTGGAGTCGGTTAGATGGTGCCTGACTTGGCTTAGGGGCTTTGCTGTGGAACAGTTTATGGAAGTGTGCATTTACTGCCGAGGCTTTGTTAAGCCTTGGTGCTTTCTTGTGGGTAGATATTGAGGAATGATTTCATTTCTTTGATGCTATTAGGTCTACTTGTTTCTTTTCTTTTCTCTCCCCACCTACCCCGAGCTATTTTTGGTAGTATATATTTCCCTGGAAATTGTTCCCGTTGTCTACATTTTCAGACTGTAACTCTTTCCAAGAGTAGAACGCCCTCCTCTTTCTCAGGTGGAGTAGAGGGTGGTTGCAAACTTCTGACCTTGCAGTTTGCAGCCCAATGCGTAACTACACCCTCAGGGCTCTAGTGGACATCTGGAAAATCATTCTTCTACCCACTGCCATGGGCATAATATGGTGCCTTTTGGTTTTAAAATATGTTTATTTCATCATTTATTATATTATTTTAGTCAATTTGTCTGAAATGTGTATAGGTATTAACCAGAAACTCATGTCTGTGGCAGAGGGGTTGAGTCTGATACACAGGCTGGAAAGTCCCAGGCACTTCCTGGGACTTCTGTTTAAGTTCATTTCTCTTCCACTTTCTACTCGGAGCTCTGGTGGCGCTATGAGTGCAGCACTGGGTTGCTAAACCCGAAAGGTCAATGGAGAAAAAGGAGGTTGTCTGCTCCCCAGAATCCTACAGAGCAGTTCTGTAATCATAATAAAAAAAGGAGTCTCTACGAGTCACCCTGAGTCGATATGGTATTATTTCTACACAAAGGGTTTGTTCTGGATTTAGCAGCGCCAGTGACGCTATGGGAATTGTTGGTTTACTGCAGGTGGTAGGTTCAAAGCCACCAGCTGCTTGACTTGTAAAGATAAGGTAGTCTGTCCCAGGAAATACTGATCTTATCAGAAACTCCATACCGGGTCACTAGAAGTCGCACTTGACTCACCGGGGCAGTGGGTTTGGGGTTTATTAACCTAAGGGATGGTGGTCTTAACAGAAAGGCCATGTGGTCTAGGGTAAACATTACACCCGGAGACCCCAGGGAGCAGTTCTGCTGGGTTCCACACGGGGTCACCATGAGTCAGAATCATGGAACTTAAATAGGTGTAGTGTTTGTTTGGGGTGATGTCTCACTATTTCATCAGACAAAACGACTCTCTCCTGCCCCGGCTCGTTCTAAATTAGTTCTACCGGGTGGGAAGCTTCCTGGTACATCTGCACGTTCACTCGAAGTCCTGCTCCGGCTGCTGGAAAGGCGGTCTCAACGATGGGCACCTGGGTCGGTCTCCCCGAGGCTCCTCTCTCAACTCCTGGGAAACACCGAAGCGCGTGAACCCCTCTCCGGACTGCTCCCTCGGGGAGACGTGGGCATGCGCAGCAGCCGCGCCGCTCGGCCACCGCGCGGGGCTCTCCCCGCTCCCGGGCTCCGGGCTCCGGGGCCGGTCCGGCGGGTTCCCCCCGCGGGGATTGAACCTGTCCCGCCCCTCCCCAGCCTCAGCCGCGCAGACTCGGC